AGCTTATCAGTTAAGAGCTTTCTGCAGTATAAAGTTGTTCAAGCTTCATTAGAAGTAAGTTTTTAATTGAAAGTTTTAAATCTAGAAAAATGATTCTCTTTAAACATACCTTTCCAATATTAGTTCATGATGAAACACCATCTGTAGGTGACCTGAAGGGCATGGCGAAGAACAGACTTTTAGGTTGTTTTGGTAACAAGCATATCAGCAGCAATGGCCAAACAGGACAGTTTGAACTTATAAACATTACATCAGAACTGTTGCTACAGATAACATGTTTGCTAAACTTCTCAAAATGAGCTGATACCACAAGTCATCTCCTTGTGATCAGCACTAGGACTATTTCCTGCTAAGACTGGATAGCGGACTGGTACATTACTGCTTGCCCAAAATATTGAACTTTAAAAGTGAAGCTGTTGTTATTTTGTGTAAATAAGCACTAACATTCTCTGCTGGAAGGACAAAGAAAGGTTGCAAGCAAAGGCAAATAATGGAAAACACCAGTATGTTAATGGTAAGGACATTTAAAATTAATCTGCTATTAAGCAGAAACATTCCTATAATGCTGATAACTATAAAATTCATACCTTTCAGCCTTTTCAAATGACGTAATACGTATATTTTGAATTGAGCAAAATAGAGCATTTCTATTTGAAAAGATTCACTTGTAATGCGACAGTGTATCTTCTTAAATTTTGGAAGCTAAAAATGTACTAGATGTAGTGCTCTGTGAAATAGGATAGAAGCTTGTTTGGGTTTTGCTGTGTACTGTTCATCTTCTCAGAGATTGCTTCCTGAAATTTTGGAAGCTTGTGAAAACTAGAAAAAAACTATGTAAAGAAGCCACCTAATTAGGAGGGAAGGGATGAAAAGAACATGGAGAAATACAAACAGAAAACCAGGCCAGAGCACTTGCCTGCATTTACAGAAGGAAGTAACTTGAATTTGTAGCTGCATTCTTGTAAAAGTTCCAAAGTATTAGACTAGTCCTTAGATTTTCAGGCTAATCTTCAGTGGACCATCACACCACACTGAACTGTTATGACACTGTCTGTACCAAAGATTCGTTTGGGAACTGACATAATCAGACAGATACGACAGCAGTCATATTGGCTAATGTTATTTGAGCTACAGAACAGAAAAGAATTAATATTTGGTATGAAGAAAAGTGCCCCCTATGTTTTTGATGGTAGCACGCAGCTTAAATGCTGCTACTGTCTGAACTTTATGTTTGAAAACCTACTGAGGAAGCAAGGACTACTTTGCTTTGCTGAGAAAGCGAGACAAAATCATCTTTGTTCTCTGTGCTCCAAACCTGAGGCAGCTCTATGTCAGTGCAAGCATCAATTCAGTATTGCTAGTTTTGTATTTTGTATTGCTAGTACTACTTCATAGCAAAACAAAATTGAATATATGTGCATTGATTTATTAAAAGGAAAATAGCATGCATTCCCAGACCTGCAAAAAGGAAACACTTCTCATAAGTTTCCTCCAGAAAACCCTTTAACCCAAAATGAGCTGAATTGATTATAGAGTTGTGTTACCTCCAAAGGCACAAGAGATTCATCTCTACGTTGTGTTCATGGTGCTCACTCTATTAATCTCTTGATTACAGCTGTAAATGCTATCTTTAATTTTTCTGTACTTACAGTTATCCGTTATTTAACTAAACGTTATGGTCAGAAAAATCACAGTATTTGCATTATAAATCCTATCATACTTAATGCATTTTTCTCATGCTAGATTTGTGTGTAATTCAGGTTTTCAGTTACATTCAATCACATCATTCCAAATAATAGAGCTGATTAGCAAGGATATAAACACTGCATATAATGAAAAAATGAGAGAAGGAAAGCTAAATTGCAAATCCAAGAGTGGAGATAAAACACCAGTAATTTTCTGTGACTCCATTTGAAAGATCAATGTATATGCAAGGCCTCATTTTGAGAAAGCAGCACTGAATTTTCCCACCTTGCCAAGAAGATTGATAATTGTTTTTTACTAGTTGGGCTAAGGCTGAAAAACACTGTAGTACTTTTACAGAGGTGCTGTCACCTTCCTTGCCTTGTTGAAAAGAAAATGAGAACAGTTCTATTCTAAGAAGGGTTGTGGTTTACTGTTCATACTGCCTCCACCAAGACCAACTGTGCTAGAACTTACAGACAGTAGCACAACCATTAATACAACTATAATAAAACTTATGATACTGCCTTTACAAATACTTAATATAGTAATAGATTTGGCCTTTTGGTTCCATAAAGTAGCTTCATAAGTAGGAAAGTCTTCATAAAGTAGGAAAAGCAAGAAAAAAGTATCTAAAAATTATATAGAAATTGATTCTTTCATTTAGAGAAGAATGAGGCTAATAATTAAACAAATAATATTGTAAGGTATTCTTAAACAAGAGGATGAAACAATAAATCAAATAACGGCAGCAGTTATTGACCATAACTACCTTCTCATTTATGAATTCATGGTTTAAGATTATAGGAAATTTCTTACACATCACTGAAATGTAGAAGTAAATAAAAACAAGGTAATCACATACGTGTCTTTATGCATTAAGAAGCAGTTATAAGGTAGAGCACAAAATGTGCATCACCTCCCTTAAAAAATAAACATTTCCGAATAATTTCTTATTGTAACTTTCCAGTGCTACAGGTGTGTTGCTAAATCCCAGAATTACAAGTAGTAACAAAATTATTTTCTGCAACTCCCTTCCCATCTTTCCCCTCATCCAGCGGATTTAAAGCACAAGTTAGACTGCACTATCCTAACTGTATTTTGCATCAGGAATATTCACGCTTGAAAATTAACTGTGCAAAATAATCCAATGCTCAGAAATCACTTAAAATTAACCTTCCTGACTTTTAGTCCAAACACATATCCACAGTTCTTGTTGAAATAGCCTTCCCATAGATTCATCCAGTAAACCATAATGAAATGTCGTATGGTCACCTGTATCATTGCATGATGCTATCCCAAGAAACAGGGCTTTCTCACAATGAGCCCGGTGGATCTCTGCTCTGGGATTTATACAATGCAATAAAAAATGACAAAAAACACAAATGCAAATGTATTTTAAAATATAATATTAGCATTGTCAACATAAAAGACTTTATTTACTGCCCAGAAAGGAAAATATTCAGAATAGTGTCATTTGTTTCGGGGAATGCACAAAAAAGTTTCAACAACTAACACACAGTGTTTCTTTGCAAAATAGCCCTTTGCATGATGCTGAAGCTGAAATGGTTTTTGCCCACTGGTATCAACGTTCTTGTAAAGGAAGGTCATTCATCTCTATTGTGACTACTCCTTTTGGATTACCTGTCTTTGTCTTTACACAAGTCAAATAGTAAATAAAAGTTATCTGTTGATATAGATTAGAGGTTAAACTGTTATTGATTGTCATATTTCATAGAGAGATAGTGTCTCTTACTGACCTTCTGAGAATTTCTTTGCTTATGAAATAAAAGTCATGCATTTGTCCTAGACAAACCATTTGCAATGAAAAAGGAATTAGATTCTTCCTGAAAAGCTACAGGCTTGCATACAGAGACTTGCGTACAATGAGAAATCCTGATAAGGAACAATTCCTTTGTTAGTGTTTCACATATTTGCATCGTGTTATGTCTTTAATCATATTAGATGAAGAAATTGTAGAGAAACAACAGATTTCCTGCAATTTTTTTGAGGTTATCTTAAGAATGTAGTCTGGAATTTGAAAGGTGTTCAAGATAAAAAGAAATAGGTGGCACATTTTCATTCTCTTGAGTTTATGTAATAAATAGAGCTATATAGATTAAAAAAGGACAACAAAACAAAAACACCATTCTTTCCTTTCTTCATTTAAGTAGATGTAGTCAAAGAAAAGCCATTAGTGTAACAGCCACTCAATGTAATGTACTATAATTGCATTAGCAGCATGCCCACACGCTAGTTTGTGGCAGTACATCTGCAGCGTACCTTAAATTAAAACACACCTCAGAAATAGGTCTGCATGGGTTGCTGTAGTTTTTGAAACCATAAAAGTACTTCTTGATTACATATGGTATGGAAGCTTCTCATCAAAATTAAGATAAACCGATCTGAACATCCTAAATTGTGAGGATGTTAGAAATCCAGACTAATTCTCCCATTGTGATAAAAACAAACTGGAGATACAGGAAAGAAAGGTAAAAAGAAAGAACCTCATACAAATGTAGTTTTCTCTTGTATGAATAGACACTGTCTTTTGTTTTCTTATCCACTAATGTGTCTTTCAGGCCCAGACCTGACCAAATTCTGTGCATTCAAGAAGCTTTAATAGTTGCTTTCTTCTGTAACCCTCCTAGGCTGCTCAGCAGTCACATCACCTGTAAACACACTACAGCATTGGAGACAGTATTAAATGAAACACTATGCATCTTAGAAGAAATGGCATCTATTCAAGGCAGACTTCTTTCTTAGCCTGTCTTGCTTGTCCAAGAGTTTGAGAAAAAGGTCATAGGAGACAGCAAAGGCCCTACAGACAGCTGGTATCTACTTGGTATGGCCCTCCACAAAAACAGAGGCACAGTAGAGAAGGGAGTACTCTAGAACAAGCTGTGAGGTAGACTAGAAGTGGTGAGCAAAGAAACTGTCTAACATTGCCTCTCCATTATGTCTTTACAAAGGATTACACGGCTCCATCATTTATTTGTCTTCAAGAACAAAAGATACTGCAGGATCCTGGTTAACTGCTGGTTAACTGACTTTACTTACACTTTCTTGTTTCAAAAGCAAAAATGCTTAGAAAGATTAAAATATTTTAAACTCTTCAGTAATATCAGAGTTCAGATCCCTTCTGCCTGGGTCAGTACCTCTGGTGTCTGCTGCGTTTAACTGCTGGAGAAGCACTTTGATTTGTTTACATACTCATTTATTCTTCTGCAGAGTAAACCCCCAAATCTCAAATTCATTAAATAAGACCATAGAGAATTAAGCCATTATACAATGCTTTCTTTCAAATGTCTTCACAGCAAATGTATGAAAAGCCGTGAAACATCATAAGGAGGGGAAAAAATTTTATCATAAAAATAGGACAACCATATTTTCCACAAACTTCTCAAGTCATCTGAGGATGTTTATCTGGAAACAAACACTGCTGTGAAGGCTGCATCTGACTGTACTACCTCAGTATAAGGTAAGAAAAACGTGAGGTAAGAGTTCAGCTCCTCAATAGCATTTTCATGGTTTAGTTCTATTAATAACTCCTAGGTAAAAGTTTGTTGAATTCAATTGTATTGAAGCATATCTAATTTGAAAAGAATGTCTACACGTTTGCAAAGTTTCTGTAGTCACGTTTTTTTTAGACATACTATGCCAAATCTAGTAGAGATACTTCCCTTTAGAATTGATTGGTTTGAAATATGTCTTGCTTCTCGTTTTAATAACTATTTCCTTGGAAAATCTGTCATTTTAATGACCAGAGTTTCTTTTTCCACTCTCAGTGCTGGAAAGGGTCAAAATCCCCAAAGCAATTGTTTTCTTGGCAGCACACTGGTTTGTGTTTGTGCTTACTCTTGTTTTTAGACACCTCAATCAGCATCTGAAGAATATATCCTGATTTTTGTTCAACATGCAAAGGATTTATTTCCTTGCATATTGTACTTATACTTTAAATTGAATCTTGCCTCCAAACACCTGCCAATGTTCCCACCAAATTTCTTGTTCGTTCTTCTTCATCCTTTATACAGTTCCTCTTTTGCACATCTACTTCTGCCTGAAATAGAAAACAAAAAGTACATTCCATCTCATTTTTTCTGAAGTATGTCTTAATCTAGTCAAATACTACCGGATAGGATAGTGACTGAAGAACAAAGGAGAAATGCTTTAATGAAAGTAATTATCCTCATCTAAAAGTGGCAAAAGGGTCAACCTTTTTGTGACGTATGTATGGTTATTTGTTTCTTCTTAAATGAATGAGTTGTACAATATCATTTTCCTTTAGTATAAAATCAATGCCCTTTGCTGGGATTTTTTTGCTATTTTTCTGATGATCCTGGTTTTGAAAGTGCACATGGAGTGCATTTTCCCTTTCTAACCAGTTCACTCCTGGAGGCAATATTTAACACATTACCACCTGATTTATGTCATTAAATTATTTTCAGTACTGGCTATAGAAGGACATGGATAAGATTGGGAATTAAAGGAAATAACATTTTCAGTGACATTTGATATCCTCCATTCACAAGTGTGTATGCTAGATCTGTCAAAATACACATCTGTATAACTGATTTTCAAATAGCAGTAATGGGCATCTATCTCCACTGTGCACCAGGAATCCAAACTTCTTGTTTGGTTGCTGGTGAGACAAACAAAACATCATATGCCTGCCAGCTTGAGACTCAAGAAGCAGACTGAATTCTTCTCAGCTTACAAATAATGAATTAGAGACACTACAGTATAAATGTTTTACTCAAGTAATTAATCCTATTAGTGATGCACAGGCTGGGACAGTGTCCCTGCTGGTTTTGCAGGGAAAAAATATACTTTAATGAACAAAAAGAGATGATGTGATTCTAAATTTAGGCATGGGGAAAAATGCAGTTGCCTTTTGGATGGTGGCTGTGCTTTAGAAAATGTTTCATTTTGGCTCGGGTAGCTTGGATTCATTTGTCTTCTTTCTGGAAGAGAGAATAATCACTATTATGAGCATGTTTTGAAAAATAAAGATTACTAGAATAAACAAATGACCTTTCGTACATAGAGGCATAATCCTTGAGAACAGTTTAAATCCAAAAAACAATTTAACCCACTTTCTTTCCTATAGGAGGGTCACAGTGTGCTAAACTGCCATAATCACTGTTTCCGTCCCAAACTCTCATGAACTGCATAGCTATCCACCTTATAATATCAGAACATGCAGATTCAGATGCAAAGAAGCAATCGTCTAAACAAAGTGCTTCTATTTACTGCTTATACCAAAAAGGCTTAGACAAACACTAATAATAGAACTGCTAATTGTTAATATGTGCTGCCTGAAGTATTCCTGAACAATGTACATACCCAGGGAAAACTTGGTATTTTTGTTTCAACCCTTGACAGATCATTTGAAATATGACCTTAAAATTCACTTGTTCTGCTATTAATTTTGAATCTGTATCCATATCTCAGTTAAATATGGAATTTTTCCTTAAATAAATTTTATTGTAGAGTTATTTCTAGTATAGCTCAGCCTTTCTTTGACCTCAAATACAGAGTCATATTTTACTGGCTGTTTACAGGCACTATGGTAGTTATTCAGATTGATTCCTCCTGATAACAGTTCAATGGGTTGTTTCTTGTCACAGTACTATTCACATCATAAGCAGTTTGCCCCATCCAAAGTAGCTATCTGAAAGTATAGAGCTTTATCTAACTGACTGTCAGTTGTCTAGCTACTGTATCCTATATTCACCTTGTTACTGCTGGTAGCCTCCCTAGGCTGGGAAGCTCTGATGAGAGACCAGGCACCAGTGCATCAATGCTTACACTCTTCATCTTAGACAGAAGTACATTGGTAGGTGCAAATTTAATTTACTTCTGTATCAGCTCTCATATTTTCTTTGCTCATTTTCACATTGCATATCTGCATTCTGGTGAATTCAAAGTTAAAGAGTTTTTTTCTAATCAGGTTTTGCATGTCTGTATTTTGAGAGCTCTGGAACAGTGCTGCACAGAATATTAAAGGTACTCCATTGCTGCCTGTTCTGCTTCTCAGAAGCAGAAAAAGAGAGATTCAGTCAGATGGGAATGCTTGGTCAATGTGGTAAATTATGCAATGCTTTCCAAAGTTAGGCAACGTCAGTCTGATTAGGCACAGTTGTCTCTATGTGCAAAGCATTAAAAAGACCTTTCAGATACATATTTAGTCACAGCAGCTGTTGCTAACAAGTCCCTGCTAATGTGATCGAAATGTTCATAAACAGTGGCATGAAAGTTGCTTCTTGCAATGCTTTCAGAAAGTGACTAAAGACATGCTGCTTATTTAGTAATGTTCACCTGTCGATGCTCCTGTGCATCAGAGAAACTTTTAATAAAGCAGCATTAATAAATTCCCTTAGGGGAATTATTTTAGTGAAGTAAATTGACCTCTTCATTTTAATACGATCACATTCTTATATTTTGTAATTTTTTTAATGACACTTTCAGGGCTTTTTTCCGTGAGTAGAGTTATCAGTAACAAATACATAACAACTAGGAGACACAGTTCTTATTAGTCAAACCTACAAGCAGGTGATAAAGTAGTCACTTACATTGAGAATCAAGAACTGAAGAATTTTTGTTTCACCAGAGGCTGTTTTGCAAGAAGAGTTACAATTTGCTATATGTATGCAGTGCACATTGCTCTGCTGGGATATGATGATTGAAATTGGTCAGCAAGGAACTTTGAAATTCCTTCTGCTTTTTTAATATATTCTTCTTAAATACTTACACTGAAAGTCCTTCTTAGAGAAGAAGCTATAAAAAGCAGCCACAGAAGCAGAGAACATGATTTCGAAACAGGAAAAGTTAAAATGATCTGTTTAATATAAGTGCTGAAAAAAACTGCTGCAATTAAATATCATTTTTTTCCGAAAATTCTTTCATGTTTTTCATCTGAGATTCATTGCTTCCTTTAAATAAGGTGGAGCCAGGAGAGCATTTGGCTAGTGAAAAGGGATAAAAAACACCGAGCAGTGACACTGACAGGATGCTAAAGTTTTGTAATGGGTTGTTAATATCAGCCATGCCAAGGTAGCAGAGACCAGTACTTTTCATCAAATGGATCTCAGCTCCAAATGCAAGAGAGAAGCAGAAACCATTGCTGTATTTCTTTCCCATGTCCACTCCTCTGCTAAGTAACACAACATGCTTTAGAAAATATAATAATGCAACCTATTATTATTTCAGAGAGCCAGTTTATGAAAATCCTTAGGTAGAGGGAAATGTCTCAGTCAAACAGCTGAGGCAGAAGTTGGTATAAAATCTTCTGCTCTGTTTTCTACTGGCCGTTTCATAAGTTAATGACAAAGAACTCTTTTGATGAAGCAACAGAAAGAGCCAGACCTGTAATTTCAAAGTAATACTAGAATTTCCCTGAGCAGATTATTATGCTTTTGTTCTCCTAAATACTGATTTTCATTTTTCTAAGGGTGATACAGTATTTCATGCAATAATACATGCAGGTTGACAAATAAAAATAATGTATAGAATTACAATAGATACAGCTAATAGAAACTACAGTATCTATATTGTTTTTCTAAGTACTACAATTTATGCTATTGAATACATTTAAGTGAACAAAGGATCATTTGCAGTGTACTAAATGATAAACCTCTTTTGCTGATATTAGCACACTTGCTTATTTCTCTCTTAATTCAGGCACTTTGCTGTTATTGCTGTGAAAACTTAGGACGATAAAATAGAAGTGTGGTGAGGTATCTGTAATAACTGAGCTGGTAAGCAATGCACTCTGCCTTCCTGAAGTCATTTCAGTCAAAAGGACACAGCATTTTCCAAAAGGCAACACAAGGTCACTGGTTTGTTAGGAGATAATTTTGTATTTCCTTGCTATACAGACTTATTTTCCTCACAGAGATGACAAAAATCTTCCTGAATGGCATTTATTTCTGCCAAGGGATGTACATGCGAGTGCATAAAGAACTAGAAGCTGGCATTACTCTGTATAAGTAAATGCTTACAGTTTCTATGAAATCCCATGTCATTTCAATGTTCTCATTATGAATGAGAGAAATCCACGATACCATCAGAAATCACTTTTATTGGGAAACTGAAAAAAACCACACTGAACTTCTGAATGCTTCTTCAGAATGTTTGCTTTCCAGACAACTCCCCAGAGTATCTGAATTTCACAATAAAAAGTTCTGCAGGTCAAAGTATGCTTTCAATTCCTTTGGCTCAGACTTTGCATGCCAAGCTGGACTTCTCTTTTTGTGAGTCTGACCAGTAGCTCCTGCCTGTCGCAGAAAAGGGATAAGAAAGGATTGTAACCTCGTAACTTAGGGAAGTATTTTTGTTCTCTGAACAAGAATACAGAGAAACCACCAGCAACACATTGCTTTCTTTCTGATTTTACAATCCTATATATGATCAACAATGAGACTTACGTCTTCAATTTATACACACAAAATGATTAGATGGGTCATAGAAATCAGTATAAAAGTGGTGGAGAGTTTTTATAAGCCCTATCCACACACATTACGAATTGATATGAATCATAACTTCAAAACCTTTGTCTCTTTAACTCAAGTTGGTGCAATCTGAGATGCTAACTTCATAGTTAGTGCTATAGTGAAAGACAGTAATAGTTTTCATTCTGTAAGTAGAACAGGATATTATATATTTATACATATATCTTAATATATACATTGTGTTTATATATATTTAATGTATTCTTAAATCTTAAAACATTCTCAGAAAATTGTACTATGTAATCTGTTGAAGTTTTCTTGTTGGAAGCCCCTCAAAGATGTGTTTCACAACTCAATATATTATGTCACAGATGTGTATTTTAATTCAGTTCCTTAGTTATCCTGATTCAAGAGCTTGCATCCATATTAAGGCTAGTCAGCTCACTTTGCAGCCTTTTCTCCCTGCCACTCTGCCTCATCTAACTGAAATGTAACCTTTCCAGGACAGATTCTGATTTGTGATCTGGTCAGGGTTTCTTTGGCCTTGAGGATTTACCAGTTTTCATCAGTGAAAATTCCACGTGTTCTGAAGCTTGTGAAATAACATTTTATTTCTTCGGAAATAACTGACGTATGTTGAGATTGCATGATTTGTTTATGTGTTTGATGCTTTATATTCTGTTTGACTTTCCTAGCAATCATTTTTTATATTCAGACAGTGGTTAAAAAAAAAAGGCAGTTCCTCTTTTATTAGAGCTTTTTGTGTGAAAGTTTAATGACATACATTTAAACAACAACCCCCCAATTAGACGCACTAGAAATTTTTAAATGAAAGCTAAGGCTTTAAATGTCAAAGAAAATGAGTGTATTATTAGTAAAAGTGTATTTCCTTAGATCTCATCTCCTATTCATTGCAGTGTTTATAAATATGATTTCCTTAGAGACAAGAATCACTAACATTTTGCTTGTTATTGAAGAGAATAGATTTCTTCTACTCCCCACTAAAACAATTTCTTTAAAATATTCCCTTAACTGTGAGATGTAATATGAGATCTTGGACTCTTTTTTTTCCCTTAGGCTGTGATTATACAGGTAGTTTGCATATTCTTTCTTTAGAAACCCTCCTGTTCAGTGATTCTATATTTTATTATTTTAATTTTTGCCTGTAAAAGGTGAAGTTACACTCCAGAGGTGAAGAAGGCAGTTCTGTAAAGTAATCTGCACTGTTTTAGTTCCCCACAGTGCCTGCTGATGCACGTCATAATCCTACATTCATTTTCTGAAATAGATTTCTAGTCCTCCTGATCTGTTTTCTTCCTTAGAGAAGTTGTTTGGTAGAAATTTTGTCTTGACCTGATATTCAGAAAAGTGGCTGAGTAATTTCGGCTTCTGCAACTGAATTTGTTCTCAGAAAGACTCCAGGGAGAGTCATATCATGTTTTGAAGTAGCATACAGAGCCCAGCCAGCCCATGATGAGAAACAGCTTCCATCACTTTCAACTGCATGCATCTCTGCCAAAATCTGTAGGTTTATCTCAAGTAAAATTAAAATCATGACACACAACCTAACATGCTGATATTGAGTTGTTAGCAACAGTTGTGCAAACACTTCTTGCATAGAGATGAAGCTGGAATTAATAGTTTATTATTTTCAGATTTTCATTATGAAATATTACCTCACAAATTCAGAAAATATTTCAAAAAAGGTTTAAGTAAATTTAATATCACAAATTCAATATTCCTTATTTCTCTGGTTTTTTTCTCCTTAAAAAAAAATGCTTCAACTTCCTATAGTGCTGGTAATCTTTCTAATTAATATCTCAAACTATTTAAGAGTATTTTTCAAAAGGCCTTGCATTTTAGGAGCTACTATACTTGGTTTGTGCAGTAGTTCTTGCAACTCAATATATTGTTTATGTTTTGAACCCAAGTTTTCATGTGCTTATTTTTCTTTTCACAGCTAGTTCAGTGCAGAATTTAAGCATGATTTGAAGGTTATTTATGCGATGGGAAAAGAATAAAAAGTCTTACCAAATTTGGGAAGTAAATTAAAATAAACTCATTGAACAGAAGTCAATGTGGAACTGCCTACAAGTTTTCAAAAAATTCCCTATTACTCAATAATTAGCTTCTCTTGAGGTCAGCTACATCTTTCGCATCCCCTTCTACCATAACATGTTTTTTCCTAGCAGTTTCTACAGTGAAGCAAGCACCTATTTATCTTTACCTATTTATCTTTACATCTACACCTGCAAATCCATTCCTGGCAGCTATTTAAGCATTATCCTTGATAGATTAGGAAGAAAATAACTGCTGTTTATAGTAACATAAACATTTTCAGGAACTTGCTAGTCACCCCCCCCCTTTTTTTTTTTTTTTTGTACACATATTTAAATACATACTTTTAGATATTCTTTTATAGGCAGTTGCCATATAAAAACACCTTTTTGTATATCAGCTCTATGCACACACAAACTGTTTTTTGCCAGCAAAATCACCAGCTTCTGCAAACCACACAGGACTTTTTCTTTAGAGATGTATAGCTTTGCATTGGGTTCTTTGCAAAATGCTGTGAGCTGGAAGACTGCAATACAGGAATTAGTGCAGGTGTGAGCAGTGTTTCCTGCTTTGTATTTCTCATCTGCAGAAAGCCCCACAATCTAAGCAGCATATCATGCTTTCCCTTTGAATCATAGTTTAGTTGTTCCTTAGAACAAAGTGCTTCTGGATTTCATTTTAGCTGCACCTGCTAAAATTACAAAATGCTGTGAATGCTTTATTTTCAAGTCAGTTTTTTGAGAGCATGCTCCTGAATGATACAAAGAATGAAAGAGTGGGTAAATGGCAGGCAGCTGACATCTCTGTCCATCAGTCCTCTATTGCACACCCAAGTTATTCCACTCTTCTCTGAGCTAACAGCCACTCTGCTTCAGTGCTGCCAGGCAGGAAATCTGAAATACAGTCGGGACCCTGAACAGCAAGAAAAGTGTTTGCAGTAAATCAAGCAAAAGCCCTGAAAGCCCATCCCTTGCTTGGTGTCCCTGGCGTTAAGGACTACAAGGCATGGACTGAGGAAGAAGTGAACAGTTCCCAACTCCAGGACGTTGTTCAGCAGTTTTTGTAGATTTAAGTCAGGTATACGCATCTAAGGGCAGAGATCATTTGATGTTTAAGCTGGTACATTGCTATAGCAGAGCATCCTTTTTGTCTTCCATAAAGTTAGGTTCGTTGTCTGATCTTTACTCGCAATAAATTATTTTTAGTCCATCAGAATTAAAGTTAACAAAAAGAAACTGCTGATCAATGTTTTGCTGCAACATGCAGGAATATTCAGCCCTGGGCTGCAAAGGACAAGAGGAGATTGCTGTCCATCACTATTGCAGTGCCACCTTCATCCTCTCTTCCCCATTTCTTCAGCTCTTGCACCATTTTTTACCTAAAATCACAACTCCTACAGGGCAACCTACCAGTGCCGAGGCGGGTAGAAGACCAAGCAGGACTTTTGCTGAGCAGAGCAGGGAAGCAGGAGGGCTGTCTGTGTGCAGGGCTGTGTGCTTCCTCCTCCAGAGTGGGCCTTGCTGCCTGGCTGAGGCCAGGAGCTGCTGGCAGCACCCAAGGGAACACAGCCTCCCAGGGCACTCCACAGCACCCAGCTGCCTTCAGGTACCTGCCTGCACAGTGCCTGGGCTCAGCCAGGCTGGTTTCCTCAGGAGCAGCCCTGCTTACCTTCGAGGCCGGGCTGCGTAGAAAAGGGGCACAATGTTCTTGTACCATTTACCTAAAATGGGGGTTCTATTCATCATACTTTTTGAACACACACAGTACTAGGGTGAAATAAGCTCTTTTTTTTTTTTTTCCCCCATCAGTGTTGCAACAGGTTTCCTGTGATGTTCTATACTGAAACTTGCCTGAGAGTTTTCTAATGTCTGAAAAGAGAAGAGCAGAGAGAATGGGGGAAGAGTGCATCCAGGGATCTGGTATTTAATCTCAGCTCTGTTACTGACAAGCAAATATTCAGCATTTGACTTTTTTGTGCTTTAGAGTTATCTTCCTCAAATTCATAATGAAAGCTGGTTGCAATGCCATTCTAGACTTTTTATGAAGTTTTCAATCAAATACATTATCATGGGACTTTGTTTGAGGAAGTCTTCCTTACTATTATGAATATGCTCATTCACTATTTGTACCTCTATGCTTAAGTTCTAAAAAAATATCTGAAGCATTGTCCTTAAAAGAAAGTAACATAACTGTGTCAAATCCAAATTTAAAAAGATTTTTTTTAAAAAGATTATTTCCTCAGTAAGAAATAAAGCTGTTTGGCTGATTAGACTCTATTTTCAAATGACAATAATGAAAACAAAATCTAGTCATTAATTTTTGTCAAATGTTATTGTATATTTGACGTGTGTTATATATAGACTATTATATACTATATGTTAATATTATATATTATGAATGTAACGCCATAACAATTGGAGTTTTGCCTTTCTAGGATCCTTGGCCCAGGCTGATGACCTTAATGCAAAGCCACTGTTGGAAGGGAAGAGAGACTTGGACAAAGTATCTGTGTCAAATGCACGTTCCATTTTTTGTCATACTCCTCAATATGTTAAGATGTTCTATATAGCAAGCTTTTTTACGCAGAGGTTTTCCAGATATGTATTTTTTAGAATGCATGAATAAGAAAGAGCTGATAATTAAGAAAAAATATATATATCCACTATTCTTTAGTATTTTTCATTTTAAAAAATCCCAGAAAAGAGTGCAGAATATGGTATAATTTTCAAAATTGAAATTATACTTCGTTGCAAATGATTTCTAGTCTTAATTTTCTCTAGACTTGATTTATTATTGTTATTATTTGTTGAAGAAAGGCAACATGGTCTCCAAAATGAGTACTGAGATGTTGATTATAACATAAGTGCATATACAGACATAAATGTTCCTATGCATATATTAATAAATTCATTAGTTTCAGTGTTAATTCAGTCCCAATGTCTTTCATGCATGTTAACTACACAAGAGCTCCATCTCGTGGTTGACTAAATATTGCCTGAGGATTAATTTTCAGTACTGTAAGAAAAATTAGGATTGAAAACAAAAATGAAAAATAATACTGATTAGGAGAGGAAATTTTATGTGTGATTAATTTCACTTCACATTTTTGTTGTTGTTAAAAAAGAAAAACAAAACAAAAAAGCTGTTTGAAAGAAAAAAAAATAAAGCTTGAGTGTTTAATATTTGCCTTTAGTATCTACCATCTTCCATATCCAGTTGGCTAATTATAAAAAGGAAAAATATTAATATAAAAAACTATTAAAATTTTGATATGCTGTGTCTCTGAGATTGTGAATCGTATATACACTAACTGTTATGTTTTGTTTCTTCTTCATACAGATGCTAAAAAAGGATGCAGCTAATCAGCAGTTTGACCTTGAAGCTGCAATTAAAAATGTTGACAAAATGTCCAATGAGCTGAAGAAACTAAACGGTAATTCTGAGTTCATCATTTAGGTATATGTTTGAAAGTGTTCTTTGAAAGTGCTTTTTTAGCATGAGAATGGCTCATGCTTTCTCTATCACACGATTAGATTTTTTTAAATCTATCGATAAAATAGTTATTACCTTCTTTTCATAAAATAATGAAATAATAGTTACATAGAATTATGTTAGTTAAGCACACAAAAAAATCTGTTAGGCAAATTCATTCCTATGCGGGGACAGTAATGGTTTGATAATGAAAATATTATGAATATACCAATGCCAACATTTTTTATGACTTTGAAGTAAACAAAAGAAGAATTTTTCGCAAGAGTTGACAGATGTACACTTTAAGAAGTGCTACATTCAGTTGCCATTTATTTAGCATGTACCATTTTGTGATCATAAAATCATAGAATCTTAAAATCATAGAATCATAAGAACCATAAATGGCTTGTGTTGGAAGAGACCTTCAAGATCACACTGTTCCAAACCTCCTTCCATGGACAGGATTACCAGCCACTAAATCAGGCTGCCCAGGGCCCTGTCCAACCTGGCTTTGAACACCTCCAGAGATGGGGCACACACAGCCTCACTGGGCAGCAGTGCCAGCACCTCACCATCCTCTGAGTAAAGAATTTCCTCCTATCATCTAATCTGAATCTCCCCTTTTTTAGTTTAAAACCATTCCCCTTTGTTCTATCCCTGTGAAACCATGTAAAAAGTTGTTCTCCCTCCTGTGTATAAGCTCCTTTTGGGAACCAGAAGGCCACAAGGATGTCTCTGCAGAGCCTTCTCCTCTCCAGGCTGAACAAGCCCCGCTCCTTCAGCCTTTCTTCACAGTAGAAGTGCGCCAGCCCTCTGATGATCTTTGTGGCCCCTTTCTGGACCCCTTCCAACAGCTCTACATCTTTCTTGTGCTACAAACCCAATCAGTGTTGTGATACTACATTGCCCTTTGTCTTTCAGTGGAAAGCCAACTACTGCTTTGTGACATTATTTTGAATTTCAACCAACCCACGAAGGCCAAAGATTTAAGAGAGGCTGAAGAAAAAGCTTGGAGTTTGATGGATTAAGTAATACCATTCATCCATTCATTTTCACACACTGTCTTCTATTAATAGTTATTCAGTTTGAACTGTGAAATGACATAATGGTTTACTGCACTTGGAATATTTTTATTTTAATCTGGAAATGTAGGATGGAAAAATGTTATATGTAGCATATTGATTTTGAGAAATATTTTTAACCCAGTTTTCTCACACTAAGCATATTATGTGTGGAAAGAGTGGCATAATTAACTTAAAATGTCAGGAAACTTGATCTGACGTTTTTCACACATGGTTCACTCCTTTTAAACAAAGGCATACTGGAAGAGTAATAAAAGGTTTTAAATTACTTCAAGTCAAGTCATTGCTCTTATCACAGTTGTGCTCAGAGAAATGGGTAAGAAATGATCGGTAAAAGAGAAACTGCAATTCCTCATTTGATCTGCCTTCCTCATTCTAAAAATGTTGCTGAGGAAAGAGGCCATACAAGAGATTACTTGTGGAAAACCAGAAGTATTTTGATTGGGTTTTGGTCGTGACTCTAATGCACATGGCTACAAAAGAAAGCAGAGTTTGGTAGTCTAAATATCCTGAAGTCTTCTTGGCCCAAATTTTGAATAGCCAGTATGTTTATGTATTTCATTAGAATTTTTTTCTTGTGAAAAGGTCTGAATTTTTTTGATGTATCCAGACTTACTTTGCTGAAAAAAAAAGTATTCAAAGCTACATTTTGTTATGTTGTTTAATTTTTAAAGCTCTTTCTCTAATGAGATGTTTTAAAACAAATAAAACAATTCCTTGAGAGGCATTTCTGGGTTATCAGAATTTTCAAAGGAATGTAATAGAACTACAACTCCCAGCTCATACAGTTGGTGGCAGTTCTGAGAATTTGATCTTAATTTTAGCATTTTTGGAAAGACATTAAAACTGATTTTCTTTCACAAGACTAGACAGGAGATGTTTTCTAACATATACATGTATATATATTTTGCTCATAGTTGCACAGAAATGAAATTCTTTAACTTTGAATTCCAGCTGCTAGCCAAATATGTTGGAAATGAAAATAACATTTACAAAGCATATAGATTTAAAATTGTTAGTCTGTATGAAATCTGATTTTTTTTTTTTTTCTGAGAATCTATATAAACTACATGGAAGACAGTGTCCTCTGAGTTGTGGTTCAACATACAATTGACTTTAAAAGGAAAAATGTGTAACCCGGTCCAAGGCAATTCTTAAACCAAAATGTTGGCAGAAGACCAAAGTTCCTAGAAAACCTGGGCAAAAAAATTGGATGAATTCCACTTTTCAAAGGAATGGGAAAAACTTTTGTTGTTGTATTCTTCAGTGGTCCTCAGTTGCAGCTTTTATTTAAGAACTGAGAAAGGTTGTTGTTGTTTTTTTTCCCCTTGAAAAAAGCACAGAAAAAAACCCAAACAACCAGAAAGCTGTTGTATAAAAGGAACCAAGTTTCCCTCTCTTTGTCTGGTTTCTAAGAGATTTGGTTGTGGTCTTCCAATTAAGAATCACATGATGGTAGTCCTGTTGATGTGTCTCCTATAAAAGAATGGTGGCTTAAATTAGAGTTAGAGATATAATTTAAGAGGAGTTTGTGCTAACAGAGGAAAGCTTGTTCTTGTATGAGGTTAGAGGATCACATAGAAGGCACCTCAAATTTGTGGGCAAAGACATTCTTGTTCCTGAGTGAAGTTAGAAGGCCTTAGGGAACACATACTTCCAATTAGTCGACAAAAATGTGCCATCAGTGACTCATCAGCGGTATGGCAGGCAAAAGATTGTATCTGTAGATATTTTATTTCTCTAGAAAACACAAAGACAGCTTCATAGCTGAGTCACACAGACAGATCTTCACAGGCAGCTAAGTATCCAGGGGATTTTTTGGTGTTGCTGAAAACTGATGTCTTTCAGGTCCATGTTGGAGTCCTAATCTTTACACAGAAATCTCCGTAGTTAAATGTATTAGGAAGTGGATTGCAGAAAAAAAATGAATGCTGCTCAACTTTGTTTTGATTCTTTTGTATGCCACATTAGTTACTTCTGCTGCTGCAGTTCTGATCTGAAAAACAGGTAGTTTTTTTTTTTTCTCCTATGAAAGTAGTGAGCTGCATTGGTATATCTTTCATGGATCCTCTAATACTGTGCAGAAATCATTTTAAGATAATACGTGTTTGTTAGAAGATAGTATTCCTCACATAAAGAATACTCATGGTACTCTACGATTAGTGTACAGTAATAAATACACTGTAGGAAAACCCAATTTATAGAGTACTACATTTCAGGCATGATTTAAAACTGAAAACATCGTCCTTTTTCTCAATAAAATTGAAAGTATTTTTAATGACTTCTTCATGATTTTAGTTCACTGAAAAATGAAGTATCCTGAGTTTTATAGGTTTTGGTAGACTTTGATCCTGTATGTGATCTTCATTTTGGTCTCATTTAATATTTCCTGCAGCATATTTTAACACACACTGGTTTCTTGAACCCCTGTCTTTTCCATCAATCAGAAGAAGAGGCGTTCTTTGGAAGTAATCAATGATATGTGCTACAGAAGAAAAATCCTGTGGGATGGAAAAATGAGAAGGCAATGGAAAATGTGTCAGAATTCTTAGTAAAGCTAATTTTTTTTTAATTTAAACTCTAAATATTTTGCTATCTAACAAGGTACAGTAAACATCATCAGAGCCGCTGCTTTTCCTCCTGCCCTAATTTGCAACCCTGTAGCTGTTTGCCTAGTATGTGTATGAAGATGTTTTGTATAATTACTCTATGCAAATTTGACATTAATACATGATGTTGTTATTCTGCTTGACATGATGAAAGTTCATTAACTTGACTTGTAAGTTCAGACAGCTTGGGCTCAATCAGTACATGCAATGGCCTGTCTGGTGCCAGCAAATCCGATGCTGTATTACTGGAATTGTGTAAGCTAGCAGTCTGAAAGGAAAGCAGTAAAGTTGTCAGGTATGGATTTGCTCTCAATGGTGTATTTCCATTATCTGTTATCTTAGTTGTAAACAATCATTCCCTGACCAATTTGCTCCTTGAGTACAAACAGAAGAATCTGATTTTGCTTTCAGGAGTAACATAATTGTAGGAATAACTCTAAGACAATAAGCAGGATTCCAGTGGAGTAAGGC